CCAAAATACATGGGGTTTTTTATAGAGATAAGCTTTTTTTTAAAGAAAAGTTTCAGACTTTACAACATTTCTGTTGTAAAGCCAACAGCAAGCTGTTCAAGCCAACAGCAAGCTAAATATTTAACAGTTACAATCTATTTTCTGCCCTAAATGAAAAGATTGAAAGGGTATCTTTTTAGATGAGAACTGGTCATGAACTAAGAGACCTACTATTTCTGTTGCCATTAAAAAAGTCTTAGCACTTGTAAAGTTCTTTTCACACTAAAAAAAAAAAAGCTGTTTTCTGAATCATGGGACACATTGCCTAGGAAATGCTCCTCCTACATTTAGAACTTTTTAAGGGTGCTGGAGACGGCTAGCTGAAAAAGGGAGTTTAAAGAGAATGACATAAGCAGAAGAATGCACTTAGCAAATGAACGCAGAGACCCAGGGGAAAATTTCATTGGTATTTTCACTGAAAATTAAAACAACAGAGGTTCGCTTATACCAAAGTCATCTTTGTGCACAGATCAGAAGAACCCCCAAACAGTTAACAACAAAAAAACCACGAAGAGAAGCCTGTATCTAGTTAACCTAAGCTGTATCATATACATAAAATGCGAAGAAAAAACAAGCATTTCTAGGGACAGTCCATATCAAAATGCTAGCACAGTCTTTAAACAGTTACTCACTTTGAAACCGTTTGGATGATAAATACATCCTTTCCTCTCACAGACTCCTGAATCTGCACTCTTGTTTCTGCCAAGAAGAGAAATACGTAATATTTGCAATAGCAAAACTCTTGAGTCTCAGAAAAGGGTAGCCAATATATGCACATCATAGTTAGGTACATTTCCAGTTTTGCCAATTAAATACTCACCTCTGTTGGGCTCTTGATAAACCTGAACCTTCCCCATCTCAACTCCTAAGCGCCTTCAGGAGCAGAAAAAAAAGAAGTCGTCAATATGGGAAAATGAAGGGCAAAACAAATGCAAAGCCCACACAATGCAATAATTACTGAAAAGGCTGTATTTCACAGGAGAAAAACAAGAAAAGAAAATCCCAAACCATAAAACCAGTAATTACAGTGGAAATCTCTTAACAAAGCATCTACAATTTCCAGAAGCTGCACTGCAGGCTAAGCTGAACTCATTTTCAAGTCAAGATCAGAAGAACAAACAGTGGCAAAAAAAAAAAAAAATGCTTGATCACTAAATCATGTAACAATTTCTAATTTTTAAGATGTATTTCTATATATATTCCATATGTTTCCAGGTATACACATGGCAACATACACATGCACAATGCTTAAAGGACCATTTCTAAATCATTCTTCTCTATAGAACAAATGTCAATGTAGAGTGAATAGGAAATACTAGCAAGCTTTACTCGATGAATAACGTAAGACTAATGTCTGCTATATTTATTTCACTTCAGTATCAGCACAGACCCCCATCACTAAAAAAAGGAGACACCTGAGAATGCTATGCTCTTATGCCCCAAGTCCTTGCCATGCATAACTTGAGTTTCTTTGCACTCCCCTTTCTCATCCTTTCTATACCTAACTTTGTGTACATAAGCCTCAGGAAGAAACCCATGATGTGCAATACTCCTGGCAATGTTACACATGCTAATACTGTTATAGTAACATGGTAAAAATTTTACTTAAGTCATAAAAGTTCTGCTGAAGCTATTCATGCATGTAAAGCTTTAAAAAAAAGTGTTCCCATCTAAAATATACAGTGAGCAGGATGGATGCAGCTTTGCTGTTTAAAAAAACTCCACTAGAAGGAGAATAAGAAAATGATAAAAACTTCTGCTGTGATTATTTAACACTATCCAAACATTCATTTTCCCACATGTTCTCTAGAACATACTGCACCCAATCACAACCTGCCACTGAACAAATGAAACACAAGTTATTTTCTTTGTTATTGATCTGTTGAAATACACCATGCGATACAGTACACTACGTGTTCTTGCAAACCGTGGCAGTCTTCCCGTGTTATTTTCCTTAAACAGAGAAATCAGTCTTTATTAAAATAAGTCCTATGATAACACCACCAAGATCCTAAGTTGCCCTGCAGGAGATTTTACTTACTCAGCAATCCTCTTCGATAGTTCCATGCATGACGAATTGGAATTAGCTGAAAATAGCACCAGTCCACCCTTGGTTATATTCATGATGGCCCCAATTTCAGTTGATGGCACACAAAACATCAAACCTAACTAAGTTGTCTTTCCGCTTCTAAAAGACTGTAAGAGATCAGAGGTGTGTTAAAGACACGTTAAAAACAAAAGAAGAAACAACTTTTCTCTGCTTCGAAAGTGAAGAGTTTCCCTGTTTTTTCCTGTATTTTCCAGCATCCTTAATATTTATCACCACTTTAATAGTACCACGAATATATCCTTATGGAACGTTGCGACCCCCCCAGCCATACCCTTTACTGACCTAGCTCTGCATACCTAACAATACGGTACAAAGAAGGGGACTTCAGCCTGCCTTGCCTTCCTCCTCCTGCCCCCAGGCTCCACATACCCTCCAGCAGAATGCTTCCCTACAGGTCTCCAAAGATGCCCCAGACAATCTCCTAACTTCAACAGGTTTGGGGTTTTTTTTTTCTTTTTTAAAACATTTTCCTCAGCCTACCATCTAGCAGCACAGATCCTCTTTTTCCATCAGCTTGTCCAGTTCATTTTCCAGTACTGAGCAATTTTTATTGACTTTTTCAAGATCACAAAGCCAGTCTGAGGTAAATGGAGCTAAACAGAGCTCCTGGGTCCTGGCTCTGCTCAATTGCCTAGAAGATTACTTCCAGAGCCGCGTATCTTTCTATCACTTTGCAATAAACTATAAACTTACAAATAAGGATGAAATGTAAGGAAGAGTTCAATAAAGCTGGCAGCTGTAAATAATGACCTCTTGCACAATGCATCCACTTGGTGAAGCAGTTGTTGTCATTCTTTGATTCTAGTATTTCTCCTGTGAAAACAGAAGAAAAATATCAAGAGGAGAAATACACTTTTTTTTTCCAAATAAAGGCACAAACCACTAATCCCACCAACGATTTGATGGGATTCCATCTTGACACTTTTTATTATTCTTTGTAACCTCACATTTTCATGACTACTTCTACTATAACATTTTGTTCAAATAAAAGAAAAAAAGTCACATTGACTAGCAACTACCAAAGTAGCATTCAACTCAAAAAATCCTCGTCTACTGCACTTCACTTCTTCTGTATAAATAGTCTAATTCTTCATCACCCATTTTAGCATTCTGTAGGGGACTGACAATACCAAATATGCATGGCGTAATTCAAAACAAAGTAAATGGAAGTTAGGATAAATCAGTAACTTCTTTTGTGCAAACATGTGCCTTCTGAGAAACTTAATATCTAAGAATCGCACATAATCTGTTCCAAAAACCTGATGGTGTATCACCTATTAAGTACCCCAAAACAGCACCCAAAAGAAAAACAACAGTTCTCATACTTACAGGAACAGCTGGCTAGCTCTATACAGAAACTCATTCAGCCCACCTTTGCAACTAGACGTACTCTTGCTCAGTTTGACCTCATCACAGAAACTACCTGATTCATTCTCAGTTAAGACACAAAGTCAAGTCAGGAAATTCCTAAGAACAAATCTCTTCATGAAGCATCTGTGCTATGCTCAATTGCTGTGAATGAAAACCTGCCTGTCATCAAAACTTTCAAACTGTGCTGAAAGAGAGCATAAATAGTGGTAACTTCAGCAACAGAATTTGAACACCTGGATGTTCTGACTCTACTCGAACCTGGTGTGCCCCCCTATACCACCAAAGCCAGACCCCACCCCTTTCAGCCTTTGCTTTCAGATGAGAAGATGAAAAAGTCCTAGGAGGCAGCATGGTTACAGACATCCAATCTAAACCTCAACTATTCCCCTCCCAACCTAAGCATCCAACAATTTAAGGAGAATTAAAAACCTGTTTCTTAGTGTTTCTTCCCTTGTTCTGCTGCACTCTGTAACTCCAGCTGTTAATTAACGGCCATCATCCATCAAATATTCATAACGGTGTTAAAGACACATCTTAAATCCAACAAAGCAAGCACGTACTAGAAATGCTTTTAGGTCTCAGACCACCACCTGAAAGCACCCTGCTTGTGTGATTAAATGGCAACAACATGGAGACAACTTTCAACATTACTAGAAGTATTCACACGGTGTTTTGAAGACACAGGGTTTTTTTTTTTCCTAATTGTGTTACCTGCTTTGCTCCATGGATTAGGGATGTGAGGAGAGTTAAGAGATCTGCTGAAAGGCAAGAGTTGTTGGCTCCTGATTATTGTTCAGGGTGCATTTTACAGCACAGTAAGATACTGACCTATTCACAAGCGACACTGAACATAGCTCTTCCCCTAACCATAGGTCAAGGACTTTCTTGCAGCTGTACTCCAGCAGAAACAGGCAGGACACAGTGTGTGTGGGGGGGAAAACTTGCATTTGTAGAGTAATATTGATGTTATCAACCTTGAAACAGGTGTTGGGATGGCAGCAAGCTCACAAAACTTTATTAGATGTGTAAAGACATGACTCCACAAGGGTACATGGGACCATAACACTCTGGCTTGAGGTGGACAAATCTTCCAAGCCTGCATCAGATTTGGAAGAACACATGCAACAGAGAGCGGGCTGCAGCCCACAAACACCCACCTTTTCTTTTGGGCTGCACACAGTTACACAGACACATCGTGACAAACACACTGGACTGGGTACACATGAGGCCCGACTCCCACTGGCTTTACACCACGAACTGAGCATGTCCACACAGAAAGCAACAGAGAAGGGAACAAGTGTATGGGCTAACCACAGTACTAAAGAATTGATCCCCACGGGCTGGAAGGAAACTGAACCCTCTCACCCACCTCCCCTCAGTGCATGTGGGGGAAATTCACCGGCCCCAGAAGAGCCCTCCACACTAACCTATGCCCCCTGGGCTAAATGGCAGAGGGTAGACCCTTCCACCCCACACCTCCCTACAAGTCCTTCAGCTGTTCCAGGTGGGTTACACACGCCCTGGGCGGGGAAGCCCGCCCAGGCACCCCAGGGTACCTGAGGATCCCTTCCTTCCTCTCAGGGGAGAGGCCTGGGCACGCCGCAGCCCTCAGCGTGGGAGTGAGCACGCCGCTCCCCTTCATCTGTAGGGCCAGCGAGGAGCCCCCGGCCACCCCGGAGATGGGCCGCCCAGGAGAGGGTCCCGCTCCCACAGGACCCCTGAGGGGAGGGCGACGAAGCCCCTTTCTCAGGCGGCGGAATCCTGTGTGGGGAGAGATCGCTGGGGAAGAGGGATGTCCTGCCCTCACACCGCCGGCTGAAGGGGGCTGAGCGAGCGGGCGGCCGTGCCCCTTTCTGAATTTCTGAGGCCTTCCCTGCCGGCTCCGGCCCCCCGGCCCCGGGAGAAGGCAGCCCGGCCGGAGGGGAAGGGGAGAGGCAGAGGCAGCGGCAGAGCTCAGCCCCTCCGGTTCTCCGCTTGCAAGATGGCGGCGCCGCGCGAGGGAGGGAGGGAGGGAGCGCAAGGGGCGGGCGCGAGGCGACGCCCTCCCTTCTTCCTCCCCCCGTTCCCGCCACGGTCTTGCGGCGCGGCTGAGGGGAGCCGCTGCCGGCGCCATCTTCTTGCCCCCGCGATGCTGGGGGGGACTCGCAGGAGGGAATACTGGGGGGACCCCTGTACCAAAGGCGGATTTCAGCTTTTCCCCCGCACAAAAAAAAAAAAAAAAAGCACGATGGGTGGGTAACGGTCCCCACCGGGGTTGTGAGAGCCGCGGTGCAAAGTCCATGCAGCATAAACCAGCAGATTTCCACAAGGCACCATGTTTCAGAGCTCCCGCACCTGCAGCCCTGTCAGAGGGACAGCCGACTGCTGCGCTGCTCTAGGCACCACCACCACAGTGGTGGGTCCTCACCGTACCAGGTGGCCTTTGCCATCGGACCCAGCAGTGTTTGTAGAGAAGGAACCTTTTCTGGAAAGTAAGTTAAACAATCAGTGGTCTCTCAGTTCCCTTATACTGTGAAGAGCATACACGATTTGTCTGGAGTCCCCTGTCAGGGCCCTGCTTGCAACATGCATAGGTTAAACTGGATGAAGATGCATTTGCCATATCCCTGTTTAAAAGCCCAGCTTTATCACAGGACAGCACCCATGACAAAAATTCTGTCCTTTCACTGCCTTGACGAAGTTAGTCATCCGATACAGACACAGGAAGATAAAACTCGTCAGAGCCCCCCCTTTAAATAATAAAAAAAACCCCAAGCACCATGTTTTCCCACTAACTGAGTAGCTAGAAGCTGGTTTAAATTCCACTTTTCAGTGTGCCCAAGATCAACAGCATTTTAGGGGTCAGAATTTTAGTGTTTAGCATAAAGGTACAAATCAGGTACTTTCTGCTGCAAGTTTTATCACAAAAAGCAATTAAACTTAATTATTCCTGGACTGCAGGGTGCATTGGAGTAAGGCCTTGAGTGCCCCAGCAGATCCTTCTGTCTGTGCTGGCCTTGCCATGAAAGAGGAGGAAAAGCCACAGCTGCCAGGACTGCTCACCAAACATGCCTGCAAAACAACAACATTTAAATTCATATTTTTAATCTACAGTTTCTGCCCTCATGAGCTACATTTTCCATTTTAAATATTCACAGGCCAGTGTGTCCCCACATTTCACAACATTCGCTTATTGTTTCATGCATTCCAACACTTCATCAGTTGGGTCCTTTTGTTTCCCCCCCCCTCTTTGGACAGACTTGGAGCTGGGGAAGGAGAGCAATTTAACCTGGAGCCACTGAGCAGCTGCCAGATGTAGACCGCTCCGCTTGTACCGCTCACACAAAGCAAAGACATCTGCTTGAAATATGTGAAGAGAGAGGCCATAAGCCTGTTTGCACCCTCACAGAGTTGCAGCAACGATCTTCTGCAGATCCTAGAGTCTCTTCTGAATTACACTTAAGAGAATAAACCTCTCCTAACACCTCGCCACCATTCTCGGTCTTTATTTTTCTCGTGCTTCCACAGTTGATTCAGGGTCATTGACCCTAGTGGGTTCTTTTTTTGTTTTGGGGCTTTTAGGACACATGGAAAGGGGGGTTTTGAGCTTTTTGTTAGCCGCAGAGTGGCAGAGATTTCTCTTAGCATCAGTGTTCATCACAGGATTTCACTACGGGCTGGTATGGCAGAGCCGTTTTAGGGCAGTACAGCTAGAAAAAAAACACATGGTGAAGCACTGACCCATAATGCAATTAGCAGCCTTCCCCAGAAGCATTTTTCAATACCCTAGGGCACCCAGAGTTTGCTGACTTTTGAATTCTGCTGCCCCAAATTCCTCACATTGCTTAAGCAAACCACAGGACCAGGAACTAAAAGGTTCTGTCTTCTGATCCTTTTTATAAGGCTATCACCTTTGTTTTCTTAGAGCAAATACATTTCTCTCCCACCTCTGTTCTCCCGGACAGAGGAATCTAAGTTTAAATCTCAGCTCCCGAGAGAGAGGGATTTGTTAATTTTACAATATGCTATCCAAATGCTAAGAGTTTAACAAGTAGTTGCTCCAAAATGAGCACCCGGATTTAATTTCGTTTACCATGATTCAATTAGCAGTCATCTAAGGAATTCTGAAAAACTGCTGGGTGTGAATATACTGGCTCACAGATTTGTTGTTCTTAATCCAGATACAACCCTGGCAAGCAGAGATGTGCAAAAAAAACCCAACCCTGCACCTAGTCCAGCCAAGGTGAAGGGCACTGCTCAACCGGTGCTTGGTTGGACAACAGCCTGGATCCATCACCCAAGAGTGGTTATTATCCAATCTCCTGAGCTCCATCCATCACTGCTCAGCCAGGCTGGCTTTTTTGGGTTTGTTTTGTGTTTTGTTGCTTTTTTTAAAGGGGCGGATGTTAAAGCTCACCTATCAAACCACCTGACAGCAAGAATTATCAGACATTGTACACAAAAGACACTTTTTGATTTGACCCTAACGGAGCCCAGTGAATAGGTTTGGCGTCTCCCAATGGTTGGTTCTACAAGGCATCCCGAAAGCATCCTCAACCCTACGCAGCCCCCCTGAGCCTGCTGTGAGGTTCTGCAGCACACAGGCACCTCCATGCTGAGCACAGCCTCAAGGCCCCCACCTCCCTCCCTTGCCTTCAGCTTTACTGCCTTCGGAGATACTGGGCCTGATTTCCAGAAAATGCTGGCTTGGATATTACCCAACTAGGCAGGCAGAACCCAAAGCAGCTATAAATGCCTTTCTGAACCAAGGAGGAGTAATTTTATCATTTCTTGGGAACAGTCTGGAAAATAGCATTACCCACATCTGGGAACCAAAGTGCCTTAAGAAAAGGCTCCGGAGCAGAGACATGTCTTATCTATGTGAAGGGCTATACAAGTAGATAGCACTGTCTTACTGTTTTATCAAATCTTACTGTCTAGCTGTGGCGTGGCTGTCTGCAGGAAATAATCACGGATTCATTTTGTCACAGTCCTGTTCGTCCTGAGTCTTGACGCTTTGACTGAAAGACTCACTGAGTTCAGTTTGTTTTCCTGTTTCTAACCACGCTCTCAGTTCCAGGTCAGCCTGCAATGACTAACAGATCTGCCACCTCAGCTTCAGCACGAGGTTATCTCCAACCAGCTTTCAAACAAAGAGACCAGAGGCTTGTTGGAACACCCAGCGTTTCACAGGTCACTGCACAGACAAATGTCTCAAGCTCGATGAGAGGGCGAGGGTTTGAACAAACATCGCCCTGAAACAAGAACTGGCAGTAGCGCCTTTTGCTTTGTTCGCAGATTCTCTTTGCTTCGCTGTGTTTGTGTGCGGTTCTGTCCTGCAAAGTCTGCATAACATCCAGTTAACACCCATCACCTTCTGTTTACAGATGTGGTTTGCCCTTTAGACAAAAGCAGTTGAACTGGACAGCGAAGTCATGTCATTTTAGGGAGTTTGAACAGCTACGCAGTTAGTGCCAAACACTCTGTTTCTCTCTGTCCTACCCACTGGGTCCTAATGTGACTTGCCACTTCCTGCACTAAGCTACAGCTCCTCTGCAGAGAGCATGCGTGCATCATGCCCCATACAGGCGTTTCGTGGGCATACAGGAAGGGCTTGAGTTAGTCACTGGTCACTGCAGAGCAGGCTTGCAAATTAAAGAGAAATTCAGTACAGGAGAAAAGACCCTTTGCTTTGCATACACAGCTGCACAGAGATAGACTGGGGGGTATAAAGAAAGTTGTGGTACTAACTCTGTCCCATACAACTAAGCAGAAGCTGGGAGAGATGCAGGGAAGGACCAAAGTGCAACCAGCAAAGAGCACCCTGCTCCCTTCCCAGTTTGGTGCCCATCAGGACAGGCCCTGGATTGGCAATAGCAGGTTAACTCCCATGTTGGGTGAGACCCTCACTCAGCTGCTACCTCAAGAGAGGCTGAGGACACCCAGCTAAAGCTTGGCCTGCACCAGTTACTATTACCAATATCTCTCCTTCACAGAGAAACTTATTACCAATACCAGCCCTTTTACTTGCCATGTGTGGTTCCTGCCTGATTTCAGCAAGCCCTGGAAAAGGTTCTGCTGTCAGACCTCTGTGCTTGACCTTATCTAACAAGTCCATTCCCCAAGCTTAAGAGTGGGACACATAAAAATTTTACTCACCAGGAAAGTTTCACCAGAGGAAAGGCACAGGGCCTGCTGGGTTTCACAGAGGCTTTTATTGTCTCATTAAGTTCTCCCTAATGAGAGCTTCCTCACCTGCTGCAGTCTCCTTCCCATTCATTTGCACCGTACTTTCAAGGCTGTCTTAGCTCCCATTCCTTCCTCCCTCTTAACTATTCTGAGCCCAGCTGCTATTGCCATGCCTTCATCCAGATCCCAAGGAGAAAATACCTCCTCCTCTTGAGCTACTCCTGGCCATGTCCTCCTTGGCTGGTTTCCTCCCTGATATCTCTGCAGCTTCTCCCAACTCCAGAGTCACCTGCTGTACTCTCTCCTCCAAAGCAAGGCAGCAACAGCTCTTGTTGAGATCCCTGACTTACGTGCTTGCTAAAACAGTGTAGACCTGCCGGGTGTAGCAATAATCCACTGCTGTCGAGGACATACTGCATGCTGCAATTCACCCCAGGCTTTAACTCCTTGAGATTCTTGATACATCTTTGTCTAAGATCCTGTCTTCATTACAGAAGCAGCTGTGTCACAAGACCCAGTTACACCATGGTTGTCCCTCAGCATGATTAAAACACCACAGTTATTTTCTCTTGCACTAAAGAAGTAAGAGCACCTTACCATCCTGCTAGACCCTACCATCCTGCTAGACCCTACCATCCTGCTAGACCCTAGCCTGACCAAAACTGTAACGCTGATCCAGTGCCACTTAACTGGATTCTGCCAATTCTCTTTTCAGCACACAGAGGTCTGTCATCCCTCACCCGAACTGGCCCCGTGACATAATTCTTCCCATCTGCACTGGCTAGTGAAGTATCAGCGTCCCTTGCTCCCTTCCTTGGAAGGCAGCTCTGGACCACAGCTCCAGCCAGCACAGTTTCTGCACCCAGAAGGCACAGCCTGTGACAAACCCTCTAGCCAAAAATCACCTGCCAAGTCTTTCTGAGCTCTTCACCGAGATGTTTTGGT